TGGAACGTCAACATATGTCATTATTTTCTCTTTGAGTGACCTGTGCAATCCATTTTCGTTGTTACTGCTGTTGAAAGTTTTCAATCGATGTGGTTTCTGCTATTTGATACAGTTCTCTATCACCAATACACAATGTTGAATGAAGAATTATCTTTGCCATGAACCTCAGGATTCACACGCTCAGAGCCATTTTTAGCCATTGCTGATATTTGAAATATTTCTGAACGGATTTTGGCGCGCCACGCATGGATTCAATATAAAAGTCTCGATCTATTTAAGAACATGACTCGCGTTTTCAGATTGATCTTTTGGTTTTGTAGCAATTGGCGGTATTTTGCGAAACTACCTCTAGTTCAATTTCCATTTCTCCTATACTAAATTTGTTATCACTGACCCATACGCCGATAAGCCTGAGTTGTTAGTACTTACTTTTTTAAACTTGTTGACTTGTATCAACAAATGCTTATTATCTCTCAAAAAATTCTTAAAATCATAAAAAAAACTTATCTGGCTTTAAATAAGCTGCAAATATTGATAAGCCGTTAAAAATCACTCAATCTTGTCTTTTATACTTATAGCGTTTACTATTTATATCCTGCTGTTTAAATACCTATGAAATTCCATGGTTACAAAGTGATAGAGCCAAGGAAAAGTAGAGGACATCATCAGAGGTCATTAGCTTAAGCTTTACACATAGATGTGTGAAAGATAGTTCTTTATGAACCTGTAGCGCCAGTTTACGACATTCGACAAGGAGAGTCCTCTTGAAAACTCCCATTGTTCTCCTTCCCTTGAATCCATTCTTAATCAAAATATATATATATATATATATATATATATATATATATATATATATATATATATATATATATATATAAACAGACGATGTGTGTGTGTTTGTCTGTCTGTTTAATAACGTTTCACTCGAGATCCATCCAAGCGATTTTGACCAAACTTGGCACATACATCGTACAATGTAGGAGATCGTTTCTTAGCGTAAAAAATTGATAATTTTTTTTAAAAAAATCAAAAATGCCAATCAAAAATCGATACATTCAACTTTTTCCTCCGATTTTGTTAAAACTCGGTATGTAGTTTACTTACATCACGACGAGCTCAACGATACCTCTTTTTTTTACGCTACTGCGTTTAGCGAAAAACCGCGAAAAACGAAAAATCGATTTCAGCACAAATTTTAAACTAAAATCCCCCTCAATTTTCAAGCAATCCAATATAAATTTTACTCAACCGTAGCCAACAATAAGTTGATTGTTTAACAGTCATTTAAATTGATAATTGAGTCCACTAATATAGTGAAAACCCGCGTAAATAATGAAAAATGGCGATATTTACTGTTTTTTTCCTTATTTTTCGTTGATCTTTCAACCAATTTTAATCAAACTTAACAACTGCTTTATAAATCTACTTTTACATCCCTATTCCCACATGGACAAATTGAATTTCAAAAACTCAAAAATAATTGTGGTCTGAATTGTCTTCATATTGCCTGTTTTACCATTTCCTGTCCTCGGCTAAATTCGATTGAATAAATATAGAGTACTTCTGTTATATCAGTAACTGCATTAATTCAATTTTTTTCTAATGAAACTACTTTAAATTTATTGAAGAAGACTAAACATGATGCTGATCTGAAAATGATGCTGTTTTTGCTCCATTCTAATTGAACGCTTTTTTATGATCTACCAGCTGGCTATGGCTGCCAGTCGTTAAAATGGGAAAAATGTTGTATATAGCTGTATATTAATTTGTATATTTAGACATTTCTTAACTAGTTGGACACCATGCACGGGAGAGATCAGGTCGGACAAGGCTTTTCTTAGAAACCATAACAATTCACAGATAATCAGTGGATAGCCATTATCGCCTAATTTCTGAAGGGAAACATCTAGATAAGACCGTAAATATCCGCCATATTGTTTTTTCTTAATTCAGCGAATCAGAAAATGCTGACACCTCTTTTAGAACAGAAGAGACGAGATATGCAAAACATAAAGCCCATTGCTGGGAACGCGAAAAAAATAGCTAGCTAAACAAATCATGACCAATTTCATGAATATGCTTTTTTTAGATTTTCGACTTGACCCTCTTAATGTAGAAAGTAACTTCGAATATTCTGGAAGAGCTGAGAAAGGGACAGAAATACAAGCAATGTGCTAATTTTTCCAGGTGAAAAACAGTAGAAGCTCGTCGCGTTTATATATACAGGTGTCTGGCCCTTGGCAATATTTTAAACTGTTTACTGTCAAGAGAATTTCCGATTTAACAGACAGAAGAGGAGTCTGAATTCTTTAAAAAAAAACATAAAGAACAAAAACAAAAAAAAAGTAAAATAAATTGTGCATATGAACTAATATGAAAAGAATCGCAGATGTCAACAGCGTATTCGTGAATCCACCAAATCTAATTGAGGCTTTCTTGCAGATGTTTGTGCCGACGGGAGTTTTCGTGTTTCAAATGGACCAAATAAATATTTCACTGCGTGAATTATTATTATTATTATTATTATTATTATTATTTACTTTGATTTCTGTTGCATACACATTTCCTTCCGGGTCCCAACAAGAGATCGAAGGTCAGAAATGGCTTCATGACAAATTCCACTGCTCATTTTTTTTAAAATCAAAAATGTAAAAATAAAAAAAAAACAAAGATCACACACATTTTGCATGGATAAAGCTCTTCGTAACGTGTGAGCTGTGCTTATGAGTACAGTTTCTTTTATTTCTTTAAAGCATGGGCTACCAGGAATCCCTTCGATGAGTCTATTGTAAAATTTTCCAATCAATCCGAGGGTTGAAACTACAACTGGAATCAGTGATGTCCTCATGTATCACATTCTTTAGATTTTCACTTCACGATGTTTGTATTTTGATAGTTTTTGAATATCTTGAAAGAAACATTACAATCTGCAAAGACTGCCATGTCAATAAGAAAGACGTTTTACATGTTTCATAAGACTTACAAGTTGACCTGCATGTCATCCCACACTGTGTACAAGCTAGTCTTCCGACAGCAACCTGATTTAGTTTTATAATGGCAAGTGAGCCGTTGGCTGACCTACATACTTTGTTACAAGTCTTGCACGAAAGGTCTTGCTGGGTATCTTATTGGTAATTTTTTTTCTGTGTCCTCGTTTGTGGCTAAGGAAGCTTGCCTTCGCGAGGCGAACTCGATCATATTCATCACACGAGAAGGAGTCCTTTGTGCTCCTCTCAGCGTAAGCGCCTCTGTTGTTCTCATATATTCAGCAATCAGATTTCTTCACGCCCCGATGCAAGATATTTCCCAGTGTTAGTATCTAGCTTGATCTCTTAAAGGTACTTCATATATAGAGATAAATGCATACATACATATGTGTGCACATTTTTATTAATTTAACCGTTATTATTAATGGAAACAAAACTGCCCAGATACGTATTTCGGTAAAATCAGAGTCAGTGTACTTTCAAAGTAAAATAGTAGCTTGTTTTATTTGCAAGCTGCCCGTAAACGAGTGGTAAAAGCATGCGGAATAGTGCAGTGGTTCATCCTGCAAAGAGGAACGCAGGTTCAGATAATGTCGGAGAACGCATTGTCTTTATTAAATGTTCTCGGGTACGCAGGCCGGTAGACCAAATATATCCGGTTTAAAAGAAACAGAGCCTCTATTCAAATCCGGGTAACAACTAAAAAAATATGTAGGCTTAAAAAATAAAACATATTAAAAAAAAATTGCATGAAAGACTCTCGGGTCGTTTTACGATGACTCATAGTCATGCAGTTCAACTCGTACAGTTAGGCTACCAGCACATATGATTTGATTATAGTGGTGAAGGCTTGGGAAGAACTAGCCAGTTTTGGAAAAAAACGGTTACAGAGAGCAACATAACACAAGGTCCCCAAACTACCCGGCTCATGTTTTGGGATTCAGAGTTGTCCTTCTCCCAGAGAAAGCCTGAATTATCTTTTCCTCTGACCGTTTCTCATTTCGGAAAACGGTAAGGCTAGCACAAAACGATTTTAACCTGCTTTCTTTTTTCTCGGAGGAGTTTTCAGTGATTCTTATGACAAATGGTATCAAGATGGCTAAACATCTTATCTCATATAAACGAATAATGTTTTATTCCTTTCTCCAATTTGCTTTCGTCTTGTCCAATTATAGATTAAGCTTTGAACTGTTGTATCTTAGAAATGACTTAAATATATCTTACTGGAATTCTCCGAGGTTTTTATGATTCTATTGGTGTCTACGTTGAGCAATAAGAATGTATAATTATTCTCCAAGTGTAACAGGAGAACCGTGATGAAATCGATCATAAAACATAATGACATGTTCATCATTAATTAATCATAGCTAAGAATCAGAAGCTCGTGAAGGATTGAAATAAAGTTCAAATATATATTATTCTAGGATCATTTTCCTACTTATTCAAGATGATCTTCTCCCTTTCTAATTTTCTAACTTTCTGTCCTGGAGTAATTGTTAATAACATTTCGCTAAGCTGATGCCCCAACGTTCGGGAAATTGAAAAAAGAAAATAGCATAATTTTGTTCTTTCATCCAGACCGAGGGACGCCAGCTTAGCGGGAAAAAGTATTAACGATTTAATAGTGAAGCACACACACACACAAAAACAATATGTGAGAAAGTAAGGTGACCAGTGAATTCGGCGAGTCCAATTCAAATGACGGTGTTTCGGTTGGATCGCGTTAATTGCGCGTAGAAAAGGCATGGATGAATTTTCTCTATGGATTAAAAAGTAGGGCAGCCTCGGATCCCTCGCGTTGGGTGGTAGACAGTCTAGGAGATGAACAGCTCTGAGTTCATTCCTGATGAGGGTGGTTTGGGGAACTTTGTTATGCAAGGTGCCTCAATTTCTGTTATCAACCCTTTCGAAAAGTATGACTAGACCTACAAGAGCCCTTACTATTATAATTAAATCATTTGTTTTGGTCGTTTATATACCACGTGAATGAGAGTGACATTGCATAAAATGATATTAAAGCATATACCCAATACAAAGAAGAAATAACAAATGTAGATTAATAAAGGATAGATAGATAGATAGATAGATAGATAGATAGATAGATAGATCTATTGTTAAGCAAAATAAGGGTGCAACTCGGTGGCAAAAAGCTATTGCGTGTGGAGAAAGATGGAACGTGTGAAAGGGGCAATGGTAAATTTTTGTACCGGATGAAGCTAAGCATAGGAAATTTGTTTCACTGACTTTCCTAATCTTCTTGGAGTATAAGATTAATATAAGCATAGCTAGCTAGCTAGATAGATAGATAGATAATGAACAGACTGGCATAGATAGATAGATAGATAGATAGATAGATATGAACAAACTGACATAATGAACAGACTGACATAGATAGATAGATAGATAGATAGATAGATATGAACAAACTGACATAGATAGATAGATAGATAACATTGAACAAAGGTAAATATAATAAGCAGATATTTCCTGAAGAGCGACGCCTTTCCGCGTTCGTTTCTTAGCCAGGCGTTGGGCACAAGGATCAGCCAAGTGGTTAATTAAAGTGGGGATTATTTGCGGAAGAACAATTACATCTAATAACATACTATCAGCTTCATCAATCAGCCTTTGCTTGTCTTACCCACTCGCACGTCTCTCTTTGCTCTCTTTCTAATCCCGCTCTCGTTTTCTATCTCTCCTGACTTTTCTCTTCATTTTTCTTTTTCTTTAGTTATCATCTTTGCTTTCCCTATTTTTTTTTTTATTCTTTTAATCAATTTGTTATTTTATTCTGTTCATTCGTTCGCTCAACCCTTTCCGGACCGTTAATTCTACTCACCCCTCACCGACAAAAATAGCAAATAACTAAAAAAAAAAAAAAAACGAATAAAGCGAAACAAAAGATGGCCGCGCAAGTCCATCCTGCTTAATTAAGAACGCGGGAAAGTCGCCGTGTGGAAAAGGGAATGTTGGAATTGAATAATTTCGTGAGTGAGGTTGCTAGTATTCGGGAAATGGTGGGGTGAGTAGTGTTTTTAAAGACGATGAGGATTATTTTTAAGAGGCGGATTTTCAGAAAATGGTGTTATATTTGCCTTCGTGTTAGGTTGAGTCATAAATAATTTCTGGTTTAGTTTATCAAATTTATTCTTCAGAAACTAAAGTGCAATTACATTTTATCCAATTAGATATTCACCATCATTTGCAAAGACCTGTTACCATTTATGAAGCACCACTGCGAAACGTTTTCATTAAAATGCCACAGATAGATAGATAGATAGATAGATAGATAGATAGATAGATAGATAGATGTGAATAGACTGCAATAGATAGATAGATAGATAGAGATAGAGAGAGAGAGAGAGATAGAAAGAAAGAAAGAAAGAAAGAAAGAAAGAAAGAAATGAACTGACATAGATAGAAATGAGAAGACAGATAAAGATAGATAGATAGATAGATAGATAGATAGATAGATAGATAGATATGAACAGACTGCAATAGATAGATAGATAGATAGAAAGAATGAAAGAAAGAAAGAAATGAATTGAGATAGACAGAAATGAGGAGACATAGATAGATAGATAGATAGATAGATAGATAGATAGATATGAACAGACTGACATAGCTAGCTAGCTAGCTAGCTAGCTAGCTAGATAGATAGATAGATAGAAAGTAAGAAATGAACTGACATAGATAGAAACGAGAAGACATAGATAGATAGATAAATAGATAGATAGATAGATAGATATGAACAGACTGACATAGATAGATATGAACTGACTGAGATAGATAGATAGATAGATAGATAGATAGATAGATAGATAGATATGAACAGACTGAGATAGATAGATAGATAGATAGATAGATAGATAGATAGATAGATAGTGAAAACGTTTTCGAGGAACTCATGAACGTGGTTTTCGTTAGAGTACGTCTTCTTCATCCAAGAGTTTTGCAGCGATAGGAAAAGTTATTAATCAGTTGGTGCAACCAACGATGAATATGGGAGAGAGGTCGGTTAGATCCAACCGACCAAGTTCCAAAAATCTTTACTTATATTATTCTTGCTGCATGACACCTTCCGTTGTCATGTAGGAGAACAGTATTTTTTGACGAGCCAGGTCGCTTTTCGACCAAAACTTTGTGGACACGTTGCACCTGCTGGACGTATAAATGTGCATTTAGCGCGTCATTATATTTTAAGAATTGTAAACGAATATTACTCTGACGATCCCACCACAGGCACAACATTAACTTTCATCCCTGGCGCTGTTCAAACAGACAGTCTTGATATTATTATCTCAGAAAATGTGATAATTACAGTTTTACTGATGGTACAATTCATTTTCATAGGAAAACTCCTAAATGATGTAAAACTTCACATATTATCTTTTCAGCTATGAGTTAAATAGCTGTTGTAACCTAGGAAAGGTTACTGGATAGAATAATCACACGAAGGCTGGTAATGAACGATAATACTTACGACAAGAACAACACATATAAGTTGTTAATTTCTAGAAGTGAGTCAAGTGAATTCCACAATGAAAGTCCAACACTACCAATCTCCCCAGGAGATCAGATATGCACAAGGCCGAATTTAATGTGGGGTATCCAAAAATTACCCGTAGACCCCATACATAATGGGGTCGGGTAGCTGTTTCCCGAGTCGAGACTCTGCCCTTCGGCATCCTCACTGCCCGGAGGCAGAGAGTTTGACCAGCACAGGTAGAGATGAATCTCCAACTGTATGATATCTACCAACCGCCCCACGCGGTCAGATGTGACACAAGGCCGAATTTAATGTGGGGTATCTGATCCCGTAGGCTCAGTCAAAAATTCCTCGTAGACACTGTATAAAGCGGGGTCGAGTAGCTGTTTCCCGAGACAAGACTCTGCCCTTCGACATAGCCTCGTCTGGGCATCCTCACTGCCCGGAGGCAGAGAGTTTGACCAGCACAGCTGGAGATGAATCTCCAACTGTATGATATCTACCAACCGCCCCACCCGGTCAGATGTGACACAAGGCCGAATTTAATGTGGGTTATCTGATCCCGTAGGCTCAGTCAAAAATTCCTCGTAGACACTGTATAAAGCGGGGTCAAGT